CAACTCTGTCGGGTGTTTCTGTTGTGCTGCTATTGTGGATGAGTGGACTGTTCTGCGCGTTCGTTTCCCTTGTTTGTGCGTGCATGTATTGGGCAAGCGGGCGAGAAGATGCATAAAAAGGCTCGTCAGTGACGCGTCCCCGGAACCTTCCGCGGCGACAGCCGCGCTTGCATGCCCTCGGACGGTCAACGCAACAACGACGCTGACACGAAGGCGAGGCCAGGGGGGCCAGGAGTGAAACATCATCCTGAGAGACAACGGCGAGCCCGCGCGGATCATGGCCGATCTCACCTGCCTCAGCAACCCTGCCGCATCGAGACGCAAAAAGGAAGGCCGCGGGTGTTCCGCTCGCTCTCCAGACGGAAAGCGCTACCAGGAGTGCTGCCCCTGTCGTCGAAATGGCGTCGGCGTCGAAAGCGTCGCCATTCGCGTTCACGTTGTAGTCGTCGTCGTCGTTGTCTCCACGACGTCCTGGACGAATCGTCGTCGTCGACGTCATCGTTGTGGTCTTCGGCGACAGCGTCGTCGTCGTGGTCGTGGTCGTCGTCGTCATCGTCGTCGTCGACGTCGTCGAGCGGTCATCGTCGTCGTCGCTACCGTGGTCGTGGTCGTCGTCGCCGCTTTCGACGTTTCCATGCCGCCGCCGTCGGGGCCCCCGAGCATCGCCACTGCTACGCACCACCAACGCGGCAGACCGCCTGGCATTCTAAACGTACCCGCCGGAAAAGAGAAAAAAAAAAAAAATGCCAATCTGCTTCGCACAGATGTTGCAGAGACGCGAACGAGATGATTATCTGGTCGGACTGGGTGACCCTGTCATCCATTCCAGAGAGAACTAGCGCCTAGAACTCGGCTTGGCCACGCCACCCAAAGCATCCACGCGGAATACCAAACAAACCTGCCGAATTGTTGCACGAGAGATGCGCCATCGTCACAGCGAAATACACCAAATCCTTCAGTGCACGCTCTTGCGGGTAAGCACGATGCCGCCGAAGAGGAGGGACTGCTCATGGTCCACTGCGCCTGATGCGAATAGCATGCTCATTTCTCGTCGCTGCCGTGCCGACATAGAGCGATCCGCTCCGATAAGCTGCTTCCAAGTAAGTGGGCTCACGTGAAATTGAGCAATGACAGTATCTCAAAAACCTGCGCTGCGCGCATTGCCCTGGGTGCCCATGTTCGACACGCCAGCGTACTTATCATCCCCGCCATGCGATGCTTCACAGTTGCAACGTCGCCGACAAAGTCTACGCGCCAACGGGCGTCTTGGTCGGTGAACAGGTTCATGCTGCACACATGGAAATACAAACTCGTGCCTACCTGAGCGACGAGCTTCCTCGTGCAATTGAGGTCACCGCTGCCATCCCGCATCGGCTTCTTCGTGATCACTAGAGCTCTGACGGCGTTCTGGATTATGTGCAGAACTACCTCTGGCGGCGCACACTCCGCCATGTATGCTGGGCGACGGCAGTACGGCGACGATCGGAACTTGCCACAAAAAGGAGGCGTGATCACCGACTCCTCGCCCTTCTCGCTCCAAAGTACCCCTTCTGCAAGCCAAAATATCAGGGCGTACCAGCACCTCCCCGTGCCGACAGCAAGGAAACCTGGAAAAAGAGGCTTGTGCTCATGGGCGGAGCTACGCTCACAGCCCAACTGCAATGCTACGAGCCAAAGTGGCAACAGCGACGACAACGCTGGGGCACTCCTGGGCGCTCCTTAGCCTTCGGCAATGGCCCCAACCACGCAGGTCAAAACCTGCGTGACCGCACGACACGAACTCCGAGAAAGAAAAAGAGGAAGACGACGAAGAGCGGAACGAACGTCTCACACACACGGAAAGGCCGGACCGACTCCCACTAGCCCCAGAAGCCCGAGCTGCTCACGCCGCGAGACACCCGATCGACTCACCCTGTGGGAAACTTGAAAGTTACCTGGAACTGCACCAAGGACAACCGTGTATAATACTATATCCTGACAACTGGAACACCTGCAACGCCAGAGAACTAGACCCCAGGCCCCTGGACACCCGGAGGCACGATAAGCCTCGATCCACTACATGGAACGAGACGGGATACGCCGACAGTCATGTTGAGGGCCTCGAGCTTGTGCATACCTGAAAGACCTCTCCGCGCACTGTACTCCTGCACGACTACGAAGAGCGTTCTACCTAAATCGACTGTGTCCCGTCTTTCCAGAAGGCAAAGCGAACCACTTCAGCCCACGCGTTCCGTAACGCTCCACGCGTCACCTGCACACGAGCGCGGCATGCGACACTTGGAACGAATACTCCCAAACCTCCACATGTGCCTACTCAACATCCGCAGGAAAACTGGCGCACCACTCGTACTCTCTTGGGAAGAGGCACAGGACAACGTTGATCTTCTGTGCATGTCTTTCTGTGCATTCTTCATATGTGTCGGACCGCCTTTGATGTATGCGTGCTTCTGTAATGAATACGTGCGTGTATAGGTGTGAAAGGGAATCCATGATGTGATGTCGCAGTGACGATGGATCCTGCGGATCAAAACTCGAAAGTGACGCGTCTCCGAGACATCTCGCGCTGACCGCCGCGCCTGTATGTCACCGAGCGCTAACAGCCACGACGACCTGCTGACACGAACGCGGGGCGAATAGAGAAGAATATTACTCACGTCAGATGCAAAAATGGAGATATCGTAGCAATGCTGGGCTACGTGCGGCATTTGCGCACACAATCCACCTCGCGCCAAAAAACACAGCAGGCGCGTGCGTTACGGGTAGGCGGGGCGAAGCTCACAGCCACACTCCAATACTAGAAGCCAGAGTGGCAACGACAACAACGCTGGTCGGGAAAGATCGCTGCTTTCGACGACGGCCGCCCTGAGTCCATTACCACAACGACTACTACGACTACTACGGCGACTCCTACTGTTACTACTCCCACTACTACTTCTACTGCTACTATTCCTGCTACTACCACTTCTACTACTACTACTACTACTACTACTACTACTACTACTACTACTACTACTACTACTGCTACTACTACTACTACTACTACTACTACTACTGCTACTGCTACTGCTACCGCTACTACTACTACTACTACTACTACTACTACTATTAATACTACTACTACTAGTACTACGACTACTACTACAACTCCTACTACTACTACTACCACTACTACTACGACTACTACTACTACTACAACTACTACTACTACTACTACTACTACTACTACTACTACTACTACTACTACTACTACTACTACTACTACTACTACTACTACTACTACTACTAATACACTACTACTACTACTACTACTACTACTACTACTACTACTACTACTACTACTACTACTACGACTCCTACGACGAAGGGCCCAAACGACTCGCACGCGGACGAGGTGCCCAAACGCCGCACACCACGAGAAGCACGACCGACTCGCACCAGGACGAAAGGCCCGAACGACTCACACCACGAGGAACCCGAACGACTCACACCAGGACGAGGGGCCCCGACGACTCACACCAGGACGAGACGCCCGAACGACTCACACCACGAGGAGCCCGAACGACTCACAACACGACGAGCCCGAACGACTCACACCAGGAGGAAGGGCCCGAACGACTCACACAACGAGGATACCGAACGACTCACACCAGGAATAGGGTCCCGAAAGACTCACACAAGGACGACGGGGCAGAAGGACTCACACAACGAGGGCCCGCACCGCCGCCTTCGTCGTCGCCGTCGTCGTCGTCGACGTCGTCGTCGGAGGCGGGAAGAAGGAGGAACAGGGGGGGTATGCGGCGCCAAGCGGACACACGCCTGAAAAACCCAACTGTCGGCACGCTTCGCAAGAGTTGCTGTTGTGAGATGGGCTGGTGGGGATGCGCGAAGCGTAAAGAATTTCCAGTGTTACAGTTCTGCTTCTTGCTGGTTACTGTAACTAGTTGATTTCTTGCTGGTTACTGTAACTAGTTGATTGACCGCGCGAGGGGGGGGGAGGCCCAAACAGGATTTTTTAGCACCCCCTGGGCGCGTTGTCTGAATTGCTGGGGGGGCTCGACATCGACACCCCTCACGCAGATCCGCGGGGTCAGGGTCCAAAAACACAGGGGATTTGCCACATTTCTGAAATTCGGTGCCACCCCTCACGCAGATCCGCGGGGTCAGGGTCCAAAAACACATGGAATTTGCCACATTTCTGAAATTCGGTGCCACCCCTCACGCAGATCCGCGGGGTCACGGTCCAAAAACACATGGGATTTGCCACATTTCTGAAATTCGGTGCCACCCCTCACGCAGATCCGCGGGGTCAGGGTCCAAAAAACATACGGGATTTGCCACATTTCTAAAATTCGGTGCCACCCTTCAAGCAGATCCGCGGGGTCAGGGTCCAAAAACACATGGGATTTGCACATTTCTTAAATTCGGTGCCACCCCCACGCAGATCCGCGGGGTCACGGTCCAAAAACACAGGGGATTTGCCACATTTCTGAAATTCGGTGCCACCCCTCACGCAGATCCGCGGGGTCACGGTCCAAAAACACATGGGATTTGCCACATTTCTGAAATTCGGTGCCACCCCTCACGCAGATCCGCGGGGTCAGGGTGCAAAAACACAGGTGATTTGCCACATTTCTGAAATTCGGTGCCACCCCTCACGCAGATCCGCGGGGTCAGGGTCCCAAAACACAGGGGATTTGCCACATTTCTGAAATTCGGTGCCACCCCTCACGCAGATCCGCGGGGTCAGGGTCCAAAAACACATGGGATTTGCCACATTTCTGAAATTCGGTGCCACCCCTCACGCAGATCCGCGGGGTCAGGGTCCAAAAACACAGGGGATCTGCCACATTTCTGAAATTCGGTGCCACCCCTCACGCACATCCATCGCAAGGCGTGGTGACCCAAACTGCGAGTACTCCCTCGGCCCTTTAATCCCAAGGTGTGGTAACCAAGTTCGTAAACCATACACGTCTTACCAATCGCCCTGTGTGGTAACCCCTCTTGTGATCAGTTGGTTTTGCCGATTGCGAATCGGCCCCGCATGAAGTTCCGATACTGCTGCACGACAGCGCCAAAGCCTCATGACTTAGCTCTTCCATGGCCCATTCTCCGAGAGAGGGGGCCGGCGGCAGGGGGCGAAGCCATTACGGATATGGGAGGACGTTCGCCAAAGTTCTGTTGAATTCCTCCTGCTCCACGAATGTTTTGCGCCCTTCCGTGGCGTCGTCCTTCCATTTCTGCGGAATGCACGCCCAGTCGATCCAGACGTGGGTGATGTCCGGGCTCTCGCGCAGAATCGTCTTCAGTTTCTTCAGCTTGGTGCAGTCCGGGTCAATGTGCCAATGCCTGACCCAGCGATGGCTGACTGCAGCCTTTGTCCTCGCCGCTCCAGACAGGACGTCTGCGTCGGTCATGAAGATGCGCACCAACTTGCCCTGATCCCTCAGGGTCTGGTGGCGGGGCATTGGCCTGTCCTCAGGCAGTGCCAGGAACTCCTCGCGGCTCATGAACCAGAAGTGGAAACCCTGTGCTGCGTCTGTCTGCGCTGCCCATAAACGGGGCGGCGGGGCGGAGAGTCGCGATACGTCTTCGGTGGGGTAGTGTTACGCAGTTTGTTCTGCATGGCCAAGCGTTACCATGCATGCGTATGCTATACAAAGCAGCAAAATTGTTTATCATCGCGCGCGCATAGCATACCATAGCATGGAACATCATAGTACCGCATAGCGCTTCACCTCATATCATAGCATAACAACGCATAGCACGTCATAGTCATAGTATCGGATCGTATACCACTTCATGCCATGCAACGCATTGCTGGCCACTAGCATAATATCTTAACAATGCACCACGGTGGACCGTCGTTGGAAATTTGCATCGGCCTCCGCAGCCACATAGGGACCTGACTCCAATATCTTCATGACTGTTTGATGGCTTCGCTGCTTCGCCCTCCAACTATGCTACGCTGTGCAGATTCGGCCCAATGAGGCATCGCCCCCCCTCGCGCGAGGACAAGGGGAGGATAATGAGGAGGAGGAAACGGTAGAGAGGATGAGGAGGAGAAGGAGCAGAATAACGAGAAAGGGAAGAGGAGGAGGAGGAGGTGGTGGAAATGAGGAGGGAGAGGAAAAGGATTGTGTTCCAATTGGGAAGATCTTCGCTGAAGAGCTTCGCGCTAAGGCCCCAAGCGTGAAAACGTGAAGATCTTCGCGCGGGGAGCGTGTTGGGCTTAGTCGGGGGCGTGTGGGCCAATCCTGTGAGCTCTCTGCATTGTCTTGGAGGCCGTATTGGGTTTCTTTGGAAATCTGGCGGCTCGAAAAAACAGTGGGGAGGAAGATCACTTCAGATCTTCGCGCTGAGGATCAGAGGGTAATGATCGCCTCTTAAATTCCAAAAGCAGCCCCCCCGCATCAATATTCTTAATGTAGATATTTCTGCTGGGGCCCTCTGGTGTCGTGTCGGGGGGCCTTTGGGAATGAACCTTGTGGGCGGTCTCTTGGAGGAAAATTTGGGCCGGCTTGGGCGGTTGAGGGGGCTCTGGAACATCCCCAGCGTGGAGGTCTCCGCTGTAGATCGCCGTGCCAAGGCCTCCAGCTGTAAGATTTTCGAATTACTGAAGATCTTTGCGCGGGGATTCACTTGGGCTTGGTCGGGTGCCTTTGGGACTGGGGCCTCTTGAATTGGTCATGGAAGCCACATTTGGTTTCTTGGCGATCTGGAGGCCCCAAAAAGTGCCCAGCGTGAAGATTTGGACCGAAGATCTTCGCGCTGAGGCCTCAAGCGCGAAGGCCTTCACTCAATATTTTTGCGCGAGGAGCCTCTGGCAATCCTGGAAGCCTTTGGGGTTGTCTTGGAGGCCATATTGGATGACTCTGGCGACCTGGAAGTCCGAAAGTATCCCGAGCGTGAAAATCTCAACTGAAGATCTTCGCGCTGAAGCCCCAAGCGTGAAAATCCCCGCTGTAGATGTCAAAGCCGAGGCCCCCAGCGTAGAGATCTCCAATTTAGATATGCTGGGGGCCTCTCGGGCCGTGCTGGGGGCCTTGGCCTGGGAGCCTTTGGGGTCGTCGCGGAGGCAATCTTAGGCCGTCTTAGGCGATCTGGGTGCCATGGGAGACCCCCAGCGTGGAGATCCCCGTCGTAGACCGCCGCGCCGCGGGTCCAGCGTGAAGATATTATCTGATGATCTTCCGGGCAATCATCCACGTGCGTCAGAAGCCATACAATTTGGCACAAGTATGTATCAACCATCGCCATGAGCGCATATGCGAACATAGCATGCGCGTGCTACGTGAAGGATTTGGATGTACATGCTTTGATGTCCGCTTTGATGGGTATTTGGGAGTCTCGGGGCGCATCGCGTTCACAGTGCGTGCGCACGCGCACGCGAACATCCAAGTGCAATAAGACAAACTACCGTACTCTGTCTGAGGGGGATTGGACGGGGGAACTTGGAGAGGGAGGAGGAGGAGAGGAGGGGTGGGGGAAGGTGGAGGAGGGGCCGGTAGGGGGTGAAACGGAGGAAGAAGAGGAGGGGAGGAGGAGGGGGGGGGGGGAGGCGTGGGAAGCAGGGGGGGGAGGGTAAGGGTAGGGGGGACCCAAGGGGGCGGGGTGGGGAAGGGGGAGAAAGACGATGGGGGAGGGTGGTGTGGGGGGAGGAAGAGGAAGAGGAGAAGGGTGAATTGGGAGGAGGGGAGGGAAGATAATTCGCCGCCCAACGGCCAGAGGCGTGCTAAGATCTCCCGGTAACTGGTAAACAGTATTTCTGGTTCGCGCGCGCGGGGCGGCCCCTGAGGGTCCCTGGATCAAAAGTACCCCAGGCGGAGCCCGGGCGGAGCCCGGACACTCCCCCAGATCCTCCAGGATCGCCCCAAGAGGGCCCCAAGAGGCCCCCAACACAATCCAAGAGAGGTCCGAGACGCCCGAAGATCGCTCCACGGCGCCCAAGATGGCCCCCAGACGGCCCAAAATGTCTCCAAGATGACCCAACAAGCCTCCAAGATGCCCCAAGAGACCTCCAGGAGCACTCCCAAGAGGGCCCCAAGAGGCAAACATCAGTGTTTTTTTTCTTAGGTTTTGGACAGATTTGGGCGTTTTAACCTCTTCGGTTCCCCGACGCCCCTAAACGGCTCAAGAGGCCTCCAAGATCGCCCCAAGAGGGCCCAGAATGCCCTCAAAAGGGCCCCAAGGCGGCCCAAGACGGCCCCAGAGGCCTCCAAGACGGCCCAAGAGGGCCCCGAGAACGCCCCCAACACGGTCCAAGAGAGGTCCGAGACGCCCGAAAATCGCTCCACGACGCTCAAGATGGCCTCCGGACGGCCCAAGACGTCTCCAAGATGGGCCAAGAAACCTCCAAGATGCCCCAAGAGGCCTCCAAGAGAACTCCCAAGAGGGCCCCAAGAGGCAAAAACCTGTGTTTGTTTCCCTTGGTGTTGGACAGATTTGGGCGTTTAACCTTTTCGGTTCCCCGACGCCCCTAAATGGCTCAAGAGGCCTCCAAGGTCGCCCCAAGACGGCCCAAGAGGCCCCCAAGAAAAACGCCCCCAACACGGTCCAAGAGAGGTCCTAGACGCCCGAAGATCGCTCCACGACGCCCCAAAATGCCTCCTACGCCCAAAGACTCTCCAAGATTGGCCAAAAACCTCCAATAAGCCGGCCTAGAGCCTCAAGAAAATCCAAAGAGCCCAACAAAACCAGTGATTTTCCTTTGGGTTGGACAGTTTGGGCCGTTTCCGACCCCCTAAGGGGAGCTCAAGAAGCCTCCAAGATCGCCCCAAGAGGGCCCAAGAGGCCCCCAAGAGGGCCCCAAGACGGCCCAAGACGGCTCCAAGACGGCCCCAGAGGCCTCCAAGACGACCCAAGAGGGCCCCAAGAACGCCCCCAACGCTACACAGCTCCCGACGCCGCAGCTCCACACTGCAAGCGACCACTCGGACAGGCGACCACGGTGCGACATTATGGGCCGGCGGACTGAGCGAAACGATTACATGATGAAGGGAGCAAGGACGCGGGGGAAGGAGGGAACAAAAACGCGGGGGGATGGGGGGGAGCGGAGGTGGAGGAGGAGGAGGAAGGGGAGAAACGAGGGGGAGGATGAAGCGGAGGCGGATACCGAGGAGAGGAGGGATGGTGATGAGGAGGCGGAGGATGAGGAGAGGAGGTGAGGAAGGGACGGAGGGGGGGGAAGGCTCGCGGCGGGCGCCCAAATCAAAGCGAGGTAGCTTCAGACGTACAATGGGTGGTTCAAGTCCGACATACCAGATTATATGCTCTGGGATTCGGACGTTCCCAGAGGAGAGGAGGAGGAGAAGGACGAAGGCACGGATGGTTGGATGAACCCGCGGTTATTTGGAGAATTGTTCGAGGGCTTTCAGGAAGCGTTCTCGTCGCTGCGGATTGACGCAACTGGGAAAACTTCATTGGACCGCACCCCTTGGGAATTTTTTGGTTGGGATCGGTTGCGCGGCCCCGTCGTCGACGACGATGGCGACGACGGCGCCGGCAACGCCGGCGGCGACGGCGGTGACGGCGATGGCGGCCGCAGCGGTGGCGTCGACGACGGCGGCGATTGTCATGACAAAGAAAACGAACGCGACGACGACGACGATGGCGGCGGCGACGACGGCGTCAACGGCGGCCGGCGGGCGATTGTCACCAGTCACCGTCGTCGCGAAGTCGTGGTCGAGAGTCGTGGGCGCCGTCGTCGTCCGTCGTGGCACTCCGCACCCGTCGCGCTCGTCGCGATCGTCGCAGTTGTCGTCGAAGTAGTCCTCGCCATCGTCGTCGTAGCACGGAGCTCAAGAGTCAGCGTCGCATTCTTTCGTATTCAAGGGTTGTCGCTCTGTCTAGCATCCTCGTGGACAAACTCCGAACTATCAAGATCTGGGTGGCGCTCGAACTGCGCGTCGACGTCGACAGACATCCGAACGCCAGCGCCTCCTTTGCTTCCTCCCAAAACCTCATGCAAACATCATCGATTCACCGTGCCAGCCCCAGCTTCCACTTCAACCTAAGAGCGTGGCATGTGAACTCTCGGTCGATCGCTCTCCAGTCGGGGACGTCCCTGAGCTGACTAGAGGGGCGGCGCTGGAACAATGCACTTCCCCAAAAAATGGCGAGCCTGTGTGTGGCGATAGGGTAAATCACCCTATCGCTACGCGCAGTCGGGGACGCCCCCGAGTGTGCGAAGGGGGCCTCTTTTCATTTAGGAGCCTGTGCGTAGCGACAGAGTGATTTACCATATCGCTACGCACAGGCTCCTAAATGAAAAGAAGCCCCCTTCGCACAGTCGGGGGCGTCCCCGACTGTGCGTAGCGATAGGGTGATTTACCCTTTCGCTACGCACAGGCTCGGGCTTCCCGGTGCATCGCGTTAGCCGCCAAGGCTGCTCATGAGGATGGCGTCGTCCTGGCTTCCCCCCATTTCATAAGCACGCGTATTTGGCTTTAGGTTGTTCTGCTCTGGCAGATTGCACCCACCGTTCTCTCGATCAGACCTTTACTTAACCATCGCCCCGAAGCGTGGCGGCGGCAGTGGGAGGTCACCATAGAAGAGTGAGAAGGGTGGAAGGAAAGGTTCGCCACCTGAGACTCCCTGGTGGATGCACAGCAAGCGGAGATCAGCAACTCCGTGAATGCAAACATCATGTCGCGCGTCATGGAAACCGTCGCTCAAACATTAGCTCCATGTGACGACGACAGTGACGAAACAAAACTTCGACAACGGCGACGACCGCGACGGGCGCGGAATGTGACGACGGACGACGACGGTGTCCACGACCCACGTCCACGACTTGATGACGACGGTGACGAATGACGACCGACTGCCAGCCACCGTTGACGCCGTCGTCGCGGTTGTCGTCGTCGTCGTCGCGTTCGTCTTCTTTGTCATGGCAATCGCAGCCGCAGTCGATGCCACGGCTGCCGCCGCCGTCACCGTCACCGCCGTCGCCGCTGGCGTTGCCGGTGCCGTCGTCGCCGTCGTCGTCGACGATGGGGCAACGCAACCGATCCCAACCATATAATTTCAAAAGGGTCGAATCAAGTTGTACCAACTGCGTCAAGCCGCACCGACGAGAGCGCTCCCTGAAGGCCTTCGAACAATTCTCCAGAGAACTGCGAGCTCATCGAACCCTTCGCGCCCTCCTGCTTCTCCTCCTTCTCCTCCTCCTCTGGGAACGTCCGAATCCCAGAACATGAAGACTGATGCGTTCGGGCTCGAACCGCCTATTGCACAGCTCCAGCCATCCCACTTCGATAAGCTGCTTTGATTTTGGCGCACGCCGCGAGTCCTCCTCCTCCGTGTCCTCCTCCTCGCTTCCTTTTCTCCTCTCCTCATCCCCCGCCTCCTCATTACCACCCCTCCTTCGCTTTCCTCTCGTCATCCGCCTCCCCTTCCTCTTCATCCTTCCCCTCGTCCTTCCTCCTCCCTTTCTCCCCCCCCTCCCCCTACCTTCTCTTCCCTGCCCCCCCCGTCCTTGTCCTCCTCATCATGCTCCTCCCCTCACTCATCTCCCTATTCCTCCTTCCCCTCCTCCTCCTCCTTCTCCTCGTCATCTTCCTCTATGTCATATCCTACCTTTTTTTCCTGCTTTTCCTCCTTCCCCAACCCCTTCTCTCATCCTCCTCCCTCTCTTGGTCCCCCCTTCATTCCCGCTCAGACAGAGTACGGTAGCTTGTCTGATTGCAACTGGGCGATTGCGCGCGCGTACTAACTGTGAACGAGATGCATCCCAAGACGCCCAAACCCCCATCAAAGCATGTACGCTCGAATTCTTCACGTAGCACACGCATGTCTATGAATATTCTCCCACATGCGCGCATGGCAATGGTTGATACAACATTGTGCCACATTGCATGGCTTCTCACGCACGTGGCTGTTGACCCAAGATCTTCAGAGAAGATCTTCACGCTGGAACCTCGGCGCGGAGGTCTGCAACGGAGATCTCCACGCTGGGGGTCTCCCCGGGCACCCAGATCGCCCAAGACGGCCCAACATGACCTCCAAGACGACCCAAAAGGCTCCCATGCAGAGGCACCCAGCACGGCCCGAAAGGTCCACAGCAGGAAGATCTACATTGAAGACCTTTAAGCTGGGGGGCCTCGGCTTGGAAATCGGTAGTGGGGGTATATATTCGCTTGAGGCCTTGAGCGCGAGGATCTTCAGTTAAGATCTTCACGCTCGGGATATTTTCGGGCTTCCAGATCGCCAGAGAACCCCAGTATGGCCTCCAAGACAAAGCCCTAAGGGTCACAGTACAGGTACAGCTCCTCGCGCGAAGATCTTCAGTGAAGATCTTCACGCTTGGGGCCTCAGCGCGAAGATCTTCAGTGAAAGTGTTCACGCTGGGGACCTCTTCGGGCCTCCAGGTCGCCAGAGAAGCCCAATATGGCTTCCAAGACAGCCCAAAAGGCTCCCAGGACAGGCCCAGAGGCCCCCGACCAAGCCCAATAGGATCCCCGCGCGAAGATCTTCAGTGAAGATCTTCACGCTGGAGGCCTCGGCACAGCGATCTACAGCGGAGAACTCCACGCTGGAGGTGTGCCGGGGCCTCCCAGATCACCCAAGACATCCCAAAAATGTTTCCAAGAGACCACCCAAAACGTTCCTCAGCAGTTCCAAAGGCCCCCAGCACGACCAGAGAGGCCCCCAGCAAGAAAGATCTGCACTGAAGATCTTTACGCTGGGAGCCTCAGCCTCAGCATGGAAATCTACAGTGGGGATTCCCACTCTTTGAGGCTCAGCGCGAAGATCTTCAATTCATATCTTTCCGTTTTTCTTTTTTTTAGCCGCTGAATCGCCAGAGAAGCCGAATATTGCCTCCGAGACAACCCCAAAGGATCTCAGGGCAGGCCCAAAGACCCCCGACCAAACCCAAGAGGCTCCCCGCTGAGGCCTCAGCGCGAAGATCTTCAGCGAAGATCTTCCTACTGAAGACCTTCCAATCCTCCTCCTCCCCCTCCTCGTCCTCATTTCCACCTCCTCCTCCCCATCTCTTTCTCGTCCTCCTCCTCATCCTTTCCTTCCTTCTCCTCCTCCTCCTCCTCCTCTTCCTCTCTCTACCTCCTTCTCCTCCTCATTCTCCTCTCGTTTTCATCGCGCGAGGGGGGGCGCTGCCTCAATGGACACAATTTGCACAGCGTAGCATAGCTGCAGGGCGCAGCAGCGAGCCCATCATTCAATCCCCACACATGATATGGTAATCAGGTCCCCATGGGATTGCGAGGGCCGATGCAAATGTCCAACGATGGCCCACTGTGGCGCGTTGTTTTCTCCACTCGCAGTGTTCGGCAATGCGTTGCAAGGCGTGAAGCGACATACCATCCTATGTTGCGACACGCGAAATTACGATATGTTATGAAATGCGATGCGATGCAGTGCTGTTCGATGCAACGCCATACTATGCTATGCTGAGTTATGCGTGCACTCCGATTGGTTTTTGGAGAAAGAAAAGAAAGTTGTTGCATAGCTTACGAATGCACGGCAACGCTTGGCAATGCAGAACATTGCGTCGCCAAAGCCCTATCGCGACTTGCCGCCCCGCCGCCCCGTCTATGGGCAGCGCAGCTGTGCCGTGCCTGGCTGCGTCGTCGGCCGCCTGCGCGTGCGCCGCGTCGATCTTACCCACAGCCTTGGCGCAGCTGTCGCGGAAGACTTTGCCAACCTCCTCCTCCTGCGCCGCGTCGTGCAACGCGTCGGCGTGCTCGTCGGCCAGCGCCAGCGCCACAGCGGCATCTTTGGTGACCAGCCTGGCCAGCTCCGAAGCCGCGGTCTCGCGCCAAGGGATGCTCATGTCCCTGTTCCTGACCGTGCGCACAAGCTGCAAGGCGAGGTCCTTGGGGTCGAACCTGTCGAGCACCTTGGCCGCCGTTCTGCGAAACTCCGGATCAACGTCCTCCTCCAGCATCCTCAGGAGCCCGGGCGCGGCCTCCGCGGCGTCGAGCTTCACGAGCGCCGCCGCCGCCGCCTGGCGCACATCCGAATCGGCGTCGCCGAGGAACGCCTCCAGGAGCCCGGGCGCGGCCTCCGCGGCGCCGAGCTTCCCGAGCGCCTCCGCCGCCTCCCGGCGCACATCCCAATGATGGTCCCACAGCGCCTCCAGGAGCCCGGGCGCGGCCTCCGCGGCGCCGAGCTTCCCGAGCGCAATCGCCGCCGCCGAGCGCACACCCTCTCCAGCGTGTTCCCTCAGCGCCATCAGGAGCCTGGGCGCGGCCTCCGCGGCGCCGAGCTCCCCGAGCGCCGCCGCCGCCGCTTGGCTCACATTATCACTGGCGTCGCCCCGCAGCGCCCTCAGGAGCCCGGGCGCGGCCTCCGCGGCGCCGAGCTTCCCGAGCGCCTCCGCCGCACTCTGGCGCACATGCCAATCGGCGTCGCCGAGGAACGCCTCCAGGAGCCCGGGCGCGGCCTCCGCGGCGCCGAGCTTCCCGAGCGCCTCCGCCGCACTCTGGCGCACAGCCCAATCGGCGTCGCCCCGCAGCGCCTCCAGGAGCCCGGGCGCGGCCTCCGCGGCGCCGAGCTCCCCGAGCGCCGCCGCCGCCAACCGGCGCACATCCCAATCGGCGTCGCCCCGCAGCGCCTCCAGGAGCCCGGGCGCGGCCTCCGCGGCGCCGAGCTTCCCGAGCGCGCCGAGCTCCCCGAGCGCCGCCGCCGCCTCCCGGCGCACAGACCGATTGGCGGCGCCCCGCAGCGCCTCCAGGAGCTTCTGCACCCGCACCGTGTCGCCCCGTGCCGCCGAAGCCGCCATGGGGGCAGCCCGCGCGCCGGTCGGCCCGTCGGCCCGCCGAGGACGGGGGGGGCAGCTTCGGCTCCAGCGGCTGCGGAGGGGGGGCCCAGACCCCTCACGCCTCGAGCAGCTCGAGGCGGAAGTTCCGCGCGGTCTGCGGGCCTGGGGCCCCGCAGGAAACGACTCGGGAGGAAGAGCTGGCCCAGGAGAGCAGGTCCAGACCTCTGGGGACCCCTATGTCGACCCAGACATGCGACGTCCTGATGTTTCCCAAGACGGCGTCCCCGGAAGTCCCGACCCCTTCCCAGGACCCTCTTCTCATCCTGAGTCCTTGTTTGGCGGTCCCAGGGCCCGGCGAGGGTCTCCAGGAGTCGAAACTAGCGAACAAAACTCCGGCCCCGATCTTCTTGCGACACGATCATGTCTGGGGAGCGCGGCCCACCTGGAGAGGCCCCAAGAACCTGGCGCTGCACTTGTTGTCACAACGGGCGATTTTTTGGTCGCCCCGCTGCGGGCCCCAGGCGCCTCGCGGAACGATCAACAATCGCTCGACGCATTGCGCAGGACTCTGGTCGTGCTTTGTTGTGCGATGCTGCATTGTCTTTTGCAACGTCGGATCTCAAGGGGGAGGAGGGAGGTGGGAGGCAGGAGGGCGACGGGGGGAGGGGGGGAGGGGACGAATTCTGCAATTCCTCCTCCTCCTCCTCCTCCTTCTCCTCGTCATCCTCATCGTCCTGACTTTTCACGATTCAACGTGCACCCGTTATCTTCCTCGTGTATAATCAAGACCCTGAGCAGGTTCCTCCTAAAAATCCTCTTCCTTCTCCTTCTCCATTATCCTTCTCCTCATCATCATCCTACTTTCCCTCCGCCTCCTCCACCACCACCACCTCCTCCTGTTCCTGCTCCTCCTCCTCCTCCTCCGCCTCCATCGTCCTCCTCTTCTTGCGGCTCCGTTTCCTCTTGCTCATGGTCATGCTCCTCCACATCATCCGATTCGCGACGCTAATTCCCTTCACCAATGCGGGTAACGATGGACGCACTTATTCATGCTGGCAGCTGACAGGGTGGGCCCAACCAACGACTGATCATTTCGATCGTGCGCAAACGATGGGCGAACATTGGAGGGAGACCAAGAGAGAGGATGAATGAGGGGAGGGATGATATAAGGGAGGGATGATTACAAAACGGAGGACCAAGGAGGAAGGATAAGAAGGATGGAGATGGTCGAGGTGGTGTTGGGAGGAGGGAAGATGGGGCGACTTGAAAGGTCCCCGATGTCGTCCCCAGTTTCTCAACGCTTCTCTCAAGCTTTCCAGGGAAGGAAGACGAGGAGGAAGACGAGCAAAAATACGTGGAGGAAGAATGACGAGGAGGCGGAACATGATGTGGAGGATGCAGAAGATGGAAGGCGATCAGAAGAAAGACTAGGGTCCTCGCCCCCCGCGCGAACGGCGGAAACCGTGACAGCAAATTTCTTAGCAGAGCAGGCGGCGGATCCCAAGGGTATGGCCCCAGCGTGCTGGGTTACCACGTTGCCTGGGTGCCAACTCAGCCACCGAAAATGTCGGCTAAGCAAAGTCGGCGGCACCCCCTCGCACGGGCCCCACGTGGTGGACAGAATGAGAGGGTGGACTTGCTTTCTCGAGCCCATACTGCTACGGAAAGCAAGACCATAGCCGTGAGACAATCCGTCCGCAAGCACTCATCCACGACACCCCTGAGACACCCGGACAACTGTTCATGGAAGCCTCCCGGGCAGGCCTGGGCCCACGTTCTTGGAAAGGCTTTTGGGACCAATGGATAAACCCAGACATCCGATGCCGTGAAGTTCTCGATGCGGGAACCCCAGAACAAGGTCTGGACCTTTTCCCCAGTGCCAGCTCGTCATGACGGTCCCGGGGCCCAGCGACGACCCCTGGAGGCCGATGGCGGAGAAAAACCTCCGCGTCGAACTTCTTGAGACGTTGGAGGTCTGGCGTTTGGGGGCCCTATCTCGACTCTCCAGCGGCCGCTCGGGACGATCCGGCCCCACAGCACGCCCCTGGCGAGGCGCAGCGCCTGAGAGGCACCCCGAGGCTGGAAAACCGCTGAGAACCGACGAACACGCCCTCCAACCTCGAACCCCGAGGACCTCGAGAACCTCGAACGCCGCGAGCCGAAGCCCCTCGGACCCAAACTTTTGGGCGTCGGAGAGGGGTGCGGCAGAAAGGGGTGTGGCGGACATGGTGATGTCATCGACGATAGATTACATCGCCAGATTCAATAATGGCACCACGCCCCTTTACACCACCCCTTCTGAGCATTTTCTTGGGTGTGAAATCCATATGGGTTTGCGCACCTCGAAAATCAATGCGTCTGGTGATTCACCTTTTGCAGATTCAAGCCTCGAAAATCCAACGAAACGGCATTTCAGATTTCACACTTTGCCCTCCACCCAAAGAACATGCTCACCCCTGTCCTGCCTCCAGAAACCCGATCCGACCTCGGATCCAAACTCGGAGGGCCTCTCGGGAGGACCGGGCTCCCTGCTCCCAGCGGCCCCTCTGGGAGCAGCGGCGGGGTGGATGCCCCGGGCGGCGGCCCCTCCCAGAGAGAGCCCGAGAGTGCCAGGGCCCAAGCAGCGTGCTTCGCACGGGGAGAGGGGGCCAGCGGCTCCTCCCCCCCCCCCTCGCTCCCGGCTCCCTCTTCTGCCCCTCCTCCTTTCTCCTCCTTTCTCCTCCTTTCTCTCTCCTCCCTCCTCCCTCCTCCCTTCATTTCCCAGGTCCTCGCCCCCTGCTCCATGCCTCTCTCCTCTCCTCCTCCTACTTGTCCTCCTCTTCTGTGTCTCCTGCTCATCATAGCCGTCGTGATTAAGAACCGCATTCATCGTCACAAACTGTTACCGTGATGCCATCGTCGTTATCTTTATCACCACCATCCTCAGCATCATCATCGTCTTCAGCATCGTTCTCGACATCGTCAGCACCACCACCATCACCACCACCATCGGCACCACAATCATCATATGTATTATTGCCCTCACCACCACCGCTATACGCACCAGCATTATCATATTCGTCATCATCAGCATTAGCATCATTGTCGTCATCTTCATCGTCATCGTCGACAAATCCTTACCGCAATCCTCACCAACTACATCGCCAACATCATCCATAGCATTACTCGCGTCAACAGTAGCGTCATCATCGTCACCGTCATCACCCTTTGTATTCACCATCGTGTCCACCACCATCGCAATCATTGCAGTCATCGCCGACAGTATCGTCATAACTCATACCCATGACAGCAATGATAATCTCACACACGATCATCAACACCACACACCTCACCATCACCCTTCACATCGCCCTCATCCTCATTGTTATACCTTCCTTTTCCTCCCTCCCTCCTCCTCTTTCTACTCCTCCTCCCTCCCTCCTCCCCCTCCTCCTCCTCCTCCTCCTCCTCCTCCTCCTCCTCCTCCTCCTCCTCCTCCTCCCCCTCCTCCTCCTCCTCCTTCTCCTCCGCCTCCTCCTCCTCCTCCGCTCCCTCCCTCCCTCGCTCCCTCGCTCCCTCCCTCCCTCCTTGCCTCCTCCTCCTCCTCCTCCTCCTCCTCCAGCCTCCCTTTCCTGTGATAACAACCGCACATCGCGTGGCCACAAGACGTGCCCGCAAGGCGGGCAAGCGTCTCGACTGAGACGGCCGGCCTGCTCCCGTACACGGCCGCGAAGCCTGCAGTTGTCCAACAGGCGTGCGGATGGAGCTTGCAGCTTGCAAACGTCCCATAGGCCGCGAAGCGTGCGGCTTGCAATGGCCCAATCAGTTTTCAAGACATGAGTACCACGGGTGAACGACGGGGAGGCACTTCAAGCACTTAACTCTTCTTCTGACTTTTCGACATGGTCACCACCTCCAAGAGGTATTCCGTGACAGTTTCATTGTGCCGTTGCACAGCTATTGCCCCCCACAAAAAAAGGGTGAACGACGGGGAGGCCAAGAGAGGAGGGAAGCCAGAGCCCGCACGCCGCCCTGGCCGACGGCGCGGGAGAGAGGCAGGAAGAGAAGGCGGGGCGGTCTGCCGCCCCGACGCAGCGCGCAGCGGCGGGCGGACGGACCCCCGCCGAGAGGCGGTGATGCCGAGGCCACGCCAACGGCGATGTTGCTGGACGGTGGTGCTGGTGCTGCTCGCGTCTCCTCCTCCTCCTCCTCCTCCTCCTCCTCCTCCTCCTCCTCCTCCTCCTCCTCCTCCCCCCCCTCCCCCCCCTCTGCTCGCATGAGCACCGCGCACACTCGTCTTCAAAGCTTCCAGCAGTCGCGCGGACGGAGGGGGGTGGCTTCCAAAGCGTGGCTCCCGCCCCCAGCGCCCCGCGGATGTGTCTCAGCATCTTCAAGCAGAATTGGTGGTTTGCAGTATGTGGCTCTCGCCTGGACGCTGCGCACATTCGTCCGAAAAGCCCCCCAGCAGTTGTACGGATAGAAGGGGGATCGTTTTCAAAATGTGGCTCTCGCCTTACCGTCGCGCACATTCGTCTTAATTGTTTCAGCAAGTACACGGATGAAAAGGGAGTGTGTTTGCTTAGTGTGGCTCTCGCCTCAGTGCTGCGCTCATTCTTCCTGAAGGCTTCAAACATCTACACGGATGGAGGGGGTCATTCTCAACATGTGTCTCTCGCCTCAGCGCCACGCACATATGCCTTCAACATTTTCCACATTTGCACGGATGGCGGGCGGCTCCGTTTCAAATGTGGCCCTCACCCCAGCGCCGCGCACATTCGTCATAACATGTTCCCGCAGT